GACCTGATAAGAAACCACAACAAGAACGCCACTGATGGCAGCGAACCGGCAGCAGTGGCGTTCTTGTTGTCGTTTCTTATCCGGTCAGAATGCTTAAAGCGGTATGTATGCAGATTGAGTACTCTGTGTGTTGACCATGGAGGTTCACCTTCTTCCCCCTCCCTTTAAAATAGGTTCAATCCCTGTCCACCTTAACTTTTACCACTAACCTTGTATGCATGACGAGTTTGGCAGCGATCAGTGAAGTTCGCCTCACTGTATTTCGCTTTACGATGATGATGATGGTTAGAGACACTGAGTGATAAGGCTGGGTGTCGTAAACAGTGGCGCTCGTGCATCCACTTATTATTCTCCTTAACACTATTTCATATGAATTCCCCACCTTCCGCTTGAATTCACTCTCAACATTCCAATCTTTGCCCTGCTCTTTTATCCAACTGGGCACCAAAAGACAGCAACCAAAACCGGCGCACGAAAGTGCATGGTTAATGGTCGTTAAAACTGAACGAAAACTATACGCTACTCGTGGCTTGAAAATGGGGGCGGTTACTCTTTTGATTACGCCATCGTCCTTCGTCATGCAACTACCTAAGCAGGAGAAACAATCCACTATAAGTAATTCTTGATCATCAGGTACCACAGCCGAGTAGATGACATTCAGTCTTGCAATACCACTTTGCACCTTGAAAGTACAAAGTGTACACCGAACGAGCTAATTGAAGTTGTCAAGTGTACTTTGAGCGTTATTCATGCATGTGAACAGACAAGTGATGTCGTCAGCGGACTTTAAGTCGCGCAGCTTTTTCTCCACCTGTTCATTCAATATCAGCATTTTGGAAACCACTAAGTACATTCTTCAATATTTCATCGTACAAGAAACAGGATAAGCTTGACGGACATGACTACTGCTTTCGAACCCTTACGCTACCAGAAGTATGCGAGCGCAGTGATCTCAGCAGATTAGCATGCTTCAGTGGCATTCCGCTGAACAGAGGCACACCCTCTAGAGCTTCACGGTCAAATGAGTCGAATTCTCCTTTCATGCCAAAGAGCTCTGAGATCACTGGTCGAAGATGCGTGTGGCGTAACTCGATGAATTGATGCAACTCAGAGGTTTCGTCGATATGAACGAGACCCGGTCGGAATCCTGCTTGTAAATATTTTTCTCTCTTTGTATTGTGAGAAGGCACATTATCACAGACAGAGTATGGTGGTTTGTGCAGTCGCCAAGTGATCTACTCTTGAAAATTAGAACGATAAATGATCCTCCCCAGGATAAGGGACTCTCTTGAGTAAATGGTGCTAAACTAGCTATATAGTTCACGAGAGAACCATTCCCCCACCACGTTAGAAATAATGGAGAGAAGCCTTTTGAGCCAGGTCATCTTTTCTTCCGAAACTGAATATAGCATTGCATTTCTAATTTCTTAATGGGCTTTTGTTCATGAAGCTCAGGCTGAATCTGCCGGAATAACCGCGCTAGCATCAAGCTGACTGAATTATTCTTCCAGTGGTCAAGTTGCTTCTCCTTATTATGGATACCTTGTCCACTTACAAAATGGTTTCTCTGACCAAACTCAGGTGTTGCATACCAGTTGAAGTAATCTTTTAACATTCGCAAAAAACAGCAGCTGCTTCCTTTTCCATCAATTCTGAGAGATGAACCGCAATGGAGAGAGACCCATATGAAGTGTTTGAGACGAGCAACGCACTTAGAATACCCAGGAACTGGGAGAACTTCAGCATAAATCAAGTGGTTGGCTCCAGTTCCTGGATCAGAACATTGGGAGGTCGGCGAAGCAGAATGAAATTGATTGCAATGAGCTTATTCCTACCGAACCAAACAAATAAGACTGCGCGCAAGCTCCCCACACTTACAGGTTGCACCATCATCTCCTAGAGCGGGACTCACAGAGATTGTTACCGTGTCTACTCTATTTTCTCATTCAGAAGAATCTCCTACCTGCTCTAACAACTCATTTCCCGTTTGCATCATGAGAATGGCAAAAAGTCCGCAAGGCCTGTGTTAATAATAATGGCGGGGGCCACATGGTCGAATCTATTCAAACAATTAGTGAAGACTCGGGTTTCAAAAGGTTTTGACAATTGGTATCCACATACCTACTTCCCTAGTTCCAGAAATGCTATATGGTACAATCAATAAAGCACAGAGAAAAATAATAAGTGGAGATGTTATTATTACAATCAACAAACGCAAAGACTAAAGGTAGTGTGAACTTTTTTATGGTTTAGATCTGTAATATACTATTCAATGCTAATAAAATATGAGTATGGCTATTACGAATAATATATCGTGTTTTATTACGGAACTATTGTAAACCAAGCTAAGGCCTACATGAAGAAGTCCCCTGGTGTTCCTTAGACGAGCGACGGGGTGCAAATTTAACATGATAAAAAAAATGATACAGTGAGCCAGGACGGGAAGTTGCAGATAAGCCGGGAAGGAGGCGAGCGATTGTAACTTATCAAGAGGTTAGCGGAGTGGTAGTGCTCCTGTGTGCGATCGAGGACACAGGTGGTGAAGATGAACCACTGTGGCCAAGTGGCGGTAGGCAGCTTTGCTATCTTTCAGTTCACTACAACACCCAACCTAGTGGGACCCTATCTGGTTCGCCACTCCAAGTCCCAGGGTTTAGGTTATCGGGTTTCCTGACTGTTCGAAAAAAGTAGACATCGGAAAGGCACCAAGTAAAATGGGAGCGCGATCGTGCCAACTGAAGTGAACTGATCCAATGAAAAGAGTACGTGTTCGAGGTGAACCGGACAACGTTGGTGACTCCGCGAAGATTCGTGCACTTAAGTGAGCAACTACGCGGTATTGCAACTTGGTCCATCCGGAACAACTCGACCCTGTAGTTAACTTTCTCTTGTTGACAGCCCAACCAAGACTTCAGGGCGATTCCACTTCCCATTCTCTTCACTCTCTGTTTCAAAGTCTATTCTGTGCTAAACGGGAGTCCCTACTTAGGTCTAACACTTGACACCTATCTCTGAGTGTGAAGAAAAATCGAAAGTTTCCTGGAGCGACAACTAAGTGTAAACAATAAAGAAAAAAATATTGCGAGAAAAACAAGATTTCTCCTCTGCACATCAGCGATACTATATCGTACAATGTGCGGAGTGCAGAAAATTTGTCCTGCATTTATGGTCATTTATTGCGTCACCAAATGTGCTGAAGATATTTCTAATAATGAAATACACTACTAGGAAATCTGGTAGTAGTGTAACTCAAATCCCCATAAACCATTCAACTTACCGATTTTTGATAAAAACGCGTCCGGTTTTCGCGTTACGATCCGGTCGATTGCTTTCTGACGCAATTCTTCATATTTGCTATTGTTACGGCATCCGAAGCAACAACAGTCGGAGCACTTTTGACCAGCAGCGAAACAATCACAATACAGTTTCAAACATCCTGTTCGCGAGCACGTGCAACGACGAACAATCGGACCACTGGAACCCAATGAGGAGGAAGCGGTGGAACGCGACGCGTTCTCTTGGGATCTGGTGCACATGCTTATCATATCTAAATTGTTCGCCGTGAAACAGATTTGATCCGGACTTGGAGAGTGTGTGCGGTCGACGGATTCCTCGTGAGGTGTAGACGCATTTTGTTGGCGGTAGTCATCAGCTATCAGTATCGGCTGTGGCTGCTGATCCGGTTGAGTAGTGTTGCTCTCAGCCAACTGGCTGCTTGTGGTCTCACCGGTGGAACTGGCCGGGCCTGATACAACGAATCAGACAAAGATCATGAAATCATTACGAGTTATTATGGTGGACACGGAAGGGTCGTGAGAATCACGTTAAAGATTGATGGATAGAAATAGATGACCACAGAGCTGGAGACGATGAGGAGCGCATGTAAAGCTTGAGGCGACATGTACGCATCAGGAAAGAAACCTTGTGATGAAAATGAATCTCAATAATTGGCACCATTGAGAACTTGGAGAACAAATTATTCTTCCTCTTTGACACCAGATACTGCCATTTGGCAGCTTACTCTACCACGTTGGCTACAGGGCTAACAGGTGGCAAGTTACAAACTCACGTACAATGTTCAATGGGTGAACGAGTACAAATGAGTTATCCCGATTGCGGGAGATGCTTACAACACACATTGGAAGAATAAATGAGACGGAGGAGGTTTTTCGCTCGAATATCAACGATCACTGACTGTCATGAGGGAAGTATAAATTTGTATGTAAAAATGAGTATGACCGCGGACGCTTTGTTCCCAAGGTTCATAAACAAAACCCACAGGTAAAAAAATGCATAAAGCATATTGAATGAATAGCCTATGTCCAAAGACTTGCGGTGTTCCATTCAACCGTGCTATTGGCCGGACTTCGTGCTGAGCTCAAGCCGAATAACGCAGTGTAAAAGTTAGGGCAGATATTCGCATAAGTGATTTCGATTTCGCCAATGATGCTCTGATACTAGCTGCCAACTGCACCTCCGCCTTGTACATGGCACTTGTTCGTGCGAACTAACCACGGTGCACTCACTTCTGGTTTCGATCAGAAAAGAAAAGCCGATCATGCCGGGCTGATGAGGCCATCCACGCATCAACCGACACGGTTTTCAGGTATCTGGGGTAGGGGTCGCTAATGCTCCACGACAGTAAAACCAAAAGCGGAACTGAAAGAGTACCTATCAAGAATCACATTGTGGTACAAGAAAAAAACTAGTATAAGGGACTGAAGTTAAGCGCCATCCGGCTTCTATACGTAAAACTCTCATTAAATGGATGAACAAACAGCGAGATAACACACATCGCTTATACTGCGAAGCACTGGGCTGCGCAGTTCTTTGCACATCAGTGGCGGCTACGACTATCACTGTGCATTTCCAGGTTGTGATATTAGTACTGGCTACAACTATGAATTGCTTACTCGACATTTGTTGTATGTAGTCTGATATCAGAGTGGCCACTACTGCTACTGAAAATGGATGGAATGATGATCTGGAAAATGTGCCACATGAAGTTCAAACCACACAGCCAGGGAATGAGGCAGGGGGGAATGCGCTAAGGATAGGAGAAGCGAAACGCTGAGCACTAAGTGGAGTGTTTGGAGAGAGAGAAAGTTGTTGAGAGCGGAACATCAACCCAGGCAGATCGGAGAGTTAGATGTTTGGGTAAAGTTCACACTACGGAAAGAAATAAGCTATTGTAGTTCTTCACTGAGAAGGGCACAGATGAGAGGTTTTGTTGGCCGTAGATACATTACTATCTACAAAGTGAATGGGTAAACCCAGTCAGTTGCCTAAGTGTTTTAAACCACACACGAGAAATAGAATTAACTGAGTTCAACTTTAGTTTCAGTTTTTACAAGCATTAACAGTGTGTACTTCGTGCGAACTTCACATATTTAACCCAGGTTATTAAACGTCCTGTCACTGGCGCGCGCGCACAAACTCGAATCCAACCATTGCCAACCCACTATGGTGATAGAAACATTCAGGATTGTCTGGTTCAGTACCATCTATCCTGTCGGGGTCTTATGTGATTTGTCTTCCACGATGCTAAACATCAGCCTGAGATGTATAACAAAAACAGCCTCAGCAACCTGATGATTGTTTAAGAGCCAATAGCAGCTAAGAAGTGACTTCAAACGAAATGAGATTTATGCACTATTTTACAATTCTGATTTTCTATAATCATGAAAGATGAGTTAAAAAACGGGTGTTCATTAAAGTTACGAAATTACTTGACGATTATTCACTTATGCGAGATGATGCAACCAGAACCCGATTTTTCTCTAAAGCTCGGTGCCAATCACATGATGGCGACATGATAATAGCAGAGAGAAGTGAACAGCATGCATTTAAGACAGATTAGCCATGTGTTCACATGAATAGAGAATTTGACAGTTACTGCATTTACAAACCGATAAATCTGTGTAAACCGATGGATAAGAGAACATTGAATAAAGTATTCGTACAAGGTACGCGCATCGGAATTCCATCAGACAACTGGACCTGAACGGTACTTTTTCAGAGCCTCCGTATGGTAGGAGGTGGGTGTCTGGGGTTGCAGCTGGTCATCCTTCCCTTGCACCTCGCTAAATGCTTCCATACGACCAAGCGTCTCGAATAGCCTCTACTAAGGAAGCCCTACTAACTGTCATCCCGTTGTGGTGTTTGTCCACCAAAGTGACAGGACGAAAGGCCAACATCTGGGGCTATAGCCCGGCTGGTGAACCACCGACAGTTCACCTTAGGGAATCGGCTAAAACAACAGACGTACCGACCACGTACACACCTTCCTGGTCGTGGTAGTGGTCATCCGCTCGATTGGATATCTGATGGATTGGACAGTGGACGTTTGTCCCCTTTCAAAGGGCTTACGATCCGATAAACTGGACACTAACCCTCAATGGATCGCGGTTTGCACACACCTCCCCGCTGTCTTGTGGCTCAGGCTTTGCCTAACCGAAGGCTCCGGTTGCAAACTCCCTGAGAAAATTCACATGCTTTGACCTGGACAACCTGCGCCCACGAGAAATCCATTGGTCCGTTTTCTTTTTACACAGATTATTGCGCCGTGATTTGTTTAGTACCTAGTCTGAAGTCAGGCGTTTGTGAAAATATGTATGATATATATGTAGTTTTACCTGCAAATTCAAATTCTTCATTTAAGGTGACTTCAGCGGAATTAAGCTACTTTGATTGCATAAGAGGAGACAAGAAAGTCCATAAATCAATCCACCGATAGCTGATACTCCCCGCCACAGACAAGAAAGTTGAGCCTGTTTTTTTTAACTGACGTTTACGCATCGACAAGGAGGACACTAATTGTACCCGCTGCTTATTTTCCGGACGTGGTAGATTCAGTTCGTCTCCAAAGAAATAGCCGTATGAAATTCTCGCGAGCAGAGCTACTCATGAAACAGGCATAGTATCCAACACGTCGCGTTCGATGGAGACGTTGCCATTAGCAGTACCTCCGAAGTGGAAATGCGAGAATGTCCGCGCACAACTGGATATGGAATCAGCAATAGATCGGAGACTTGAAGCATAAAGACTCGACAAAAATTTCGCCATTGGCTGACAAACTAGTGAAAAATTAGTGTTTGTCGAAAACGGAAACTTTAAAAGACATGTGCGTGAACTACCACAACTCCGTACAGGTGACCGTGTGGCTTCAGCAGCAGTTTAGATGTGTTGGTTCAGTGACTAGTTGCACGGTGACATGATCGGGGAGATTAACATTTCGCTCATAAAGAAGCGAAGTTTCAATGAGAAAAGTCAAGTCAAAAAAGAAAAGAATGTATTAGGACAGCCTGAGTATATGGCTATAGATTACCTGAATCTAGACGGCGATTGCATTTTCCGATATTTGGAGGAGTTCATGTGAAACATTTCACCCCCAAGAAAACAACAGCTACTGCCAGTTATGAAATGATGTCTCGATTAAGCTGTCTCTGACAGACTTCTGAGAGACATTCCATATTATTGAGTGAGATAAGGCCAACAAAAGCAGTCATTTTGGAATTTCAACCCGTATGAGGAAACTGTCTGCACATTTGCGTAGTGCAAACTACGTCATGACCGTCATCGTACAGTGAAATACAGTGAAGTGAACTACACTGATCACTGCCAAGCTCACAATGTAAACATCGACAGTAGAAGACTTTTAGATGATGAATATCTTTAACACGTAAATTACCAGCAGAACTGACAACACACTGGCGCAGTATGCGCGACTTCTCCGTTTCAACGAAACATCACGTCCGTCCCCTCTCCGTTCAACCAAATACAGACCAATCTTGAAGAGCCAATGGGTTAATAGTAGCAACTGAAGTTTAGGTTGCGAAATGACGTGACACAAATTAAGCTTGCTTGACGAAACAACCAACAGGATAGATGCTCTTTGCAATAATCATAAATAAAGAACACTTAAACCACGAGTCAAAGGACGAAGCAATCGAAGAAGTGGTGTTATACATTCCGAAGTACAACGGATGTCCTTTGTGCATGAAACCGGAAGATCATTTGGCCTAAAGTTAGTTCATGAAACCTGATAGCTCCCTAATCAGTAACATCAATTTCAATGCCCGAGAGTTCTATTTAAGGTAAATCAATTGGAGGACCGAAGTAAAATTGGGAGCCAACTGTTGGTGTGTGCTGACATCCGCTTTCAACGCACCTCTGCCAGCCAGTCAGCCAAGCAATCAACGCCCCACTCACCCCCCCCCCCCCCCCCACCCCTGTCCCCCTCGCATCAGTACAGCTGGCTCGCTCACTCATCCGCTCAGACGGGTAGCACATCCGAGAGCTGTGTGATTCATACACTGGACCAGGTTTGCCTACCTAGTCTGGTGGACCAATCAGATCTGCGCACGGGGCAGACACAAATGTCGATCGATACGAACGAATCACGCGATTCATGCGCGGGGACAGACGCGAAGCCCGTAGTTCGTCTAAGCCGCCGCCGTATGCTGTCGCCAGCCCTGTCCGAAATCAGATCGATTGACGGTCGGTTCGGTGGGCAGTTGTTGCATCGTCGATTGGTTAGCTATCTGATCGACAAGAGGGCTGATAGAGTGTGATGATACAGAACAGGGCTGCATGAGTGTGTGTTAGTGACGAACAGGCAAACGAGACCCATCGATTTTTCCAAAGCGCTTGTATCCAAGCCGCCCTATGAGAGGTTTCACGTCGTGACAAGCCAATCCAAATGAGACTTCCGTATGTCGCGACCAAGTGCAGACACGCTTACAAGAGCGCACCACCGTTGAGACAAAGCCAGGATCGATCGATGAAGTGGCCAATCGATACGAGCCGGTCAAAGACCGCACATTGGCTGTCGACAGACATGCCCAATAGGTACACTGCGCAAAACTGTATACGTACTTATCTGTATGTGCACTGGGGGAGCATTCTGAAACACGATAGCGATAAGATAGCGACTTGATTGACTTTCTGAAAGAAATATCGAGGGTTAAATTTCAGAGTGCCACTAAATCCAGAAAGCTGATGCTGAAGTTCGATACCTCAGCGGTTACCGCCTGACAATAAAGCCAATTTAGAATAAAAAACTCAACAATCGGTCCATAGCTATGTTTGTGAGAGTGATTCTACGCTCTCACGTTAGACAGGGTTGAAAACCAAAAATATCGATCATTGATTTAGATCGAATTGAAGGGTCGATCCACACCACTCCGCTTGAACACAACACCCTGAATCGAGGTACTGAGAGACATACATAACCTCGATCCAATGATTTCTATATTTTTGTCCTAATACTCACACCAGTATTCTCATTCTTCCCTCTACTCCTCCATTCAAATGAACAGTCCCAAGATTGTAACCAAAAACTGGTCAAGAGCGACCAAAGCTAACAGTGGCGTTGTGGTGCTGGTAGCAGTGGAACACACGAGGCATTGATTACTTGGCGATGTATGACATTTGGAAAATGCAGCCCAAAAGTACCAAGCCTTCCTCCATCAAACCGAGTGGGATACAACTAACAAGAAGCGCAAGCACTGGTCGACTACACTCGAAAATCCCGGTCGGCAAATGATGTGAATGGAATGAATAAATCATTATCGACCCCCCCCACC